CCCTCCTCATAGTATCCTTTTCCTCCTCTCCCTACCCCTCCCTCCTCCTCATAGCATCCTTCTTTCCCCAGGCAATTTTTCTTCTGCTTCCATGTCATACATGCACATATGCTTTTATGCATAAAATCTAATTTTAAATACATAAAATTTTATGTATAAAATGTAGAATCTGAAAAATAGAAAGTAATATTTGTCTTTCTGTGTATGGATTAATTTATTTCACATCAGAATCTTCAGTTGTAATAATTTTCCTGTAAATAACATAATCTACTCTTCTGTATGGTTGAGTAAAATTCCACTGTGTTTTTGTACCACAATCTGTTTATCTGTTCTTGTATTGATGAACTTCTAAGTTGGTTCTATGACTGCTATTGTGAACGATATTGTAACATATATTGATACACTAGTATACTAGTATCTCACACTGATTTATTTCTTTTTTCTTTTTTTTCTTCCTTTGGTTTTTCGAGAAAGGTCTTCATTGTGTAGTTCTGGTTGTCCTGAAACTTGCTCTTAGACCAGGCTGGCCTCAAATTCAGAGATCTGCCTGCCTCTGCCTGCCCAGAGTGCTGGGATTAAAGGCGTGTGCCACCATCACTCAAATCACATTGATTTCTTTCAACACAGAACTCTGGAGGGTACAAGGTACTTCAAGTTATTTGCAAAACTTGTGGGGAGGTGTATCTTTAGATTTATTACACATTCATTTTTCTGACAATTGTCACTGCTTGAAGACCAGTTTTAAAAAGAATTCTCAATGTAATCTTTTAATATTATTACATGAATGAACATGAAATGATCCATATTTCTGACAAAAATATGCAAAAATTTTTGCACGAAAAATTTAATTACATAACAGAAATAAAATAAGGCATACCAAAACTTAATCAGAAGACTCATAAATATTGGTTTTTCAACTACATAATAAGTCAAGGATATATGTTATATTTTAGGAAAAAGATATATGAAGTCATAAAGGTTGAAAGCAAGAGGATAGAAGGATTATATTTTGTAAACAATTACTATTAAAACAGCTGATAAGTAAATGACAGTCCTGGTACTGAATTGAGTTACATTCTTAGGTAGGAAAAATGAATATATATTGATCCTTATTTGATATCATGTAAAAAGGAAATCAGGAAATGAAAGAAAACAAATCCACATGTTTAATAGATCTAAAATAAGTGATTTAACAACCTATTGTTCAAAAGAAAATATTGTAGAATATGCTTTTATTAAAAGTATATTTATTTTTTAAAAATTTTAATTGAAATATAATTGCATCACTTCCCTCTTTCCATGTCCTCCTTCCAACCCTGCTCATATCACTCCACCTCCAAACTCCCTGTACTATTATCCTTCTCAAATTCATGACCTCTTTTTTATTATTCTTGTTACACATACATATATGCATAATTATATAAAAATAACCTGCTGAGTCAGGTTAGTGTGGCCTGTGTGAGTACAACTTCAGGGTGGACCACTTTGTATTAAAAACCAATTAGGTGCTCATCTTGGGAGAGGCTAATGCTCCCTCTCTCTGCCGTCAGTTGACTGTAGCTCTTGTCTAGGTGTGGGAACTGTGAGATTTCTCCTTTCTGCATTAGCATATCTACTGAT